TCTTACCTTTTAATACTTTTGGATGGTATGTGTCTTATTTCGATTTCCGCCTTTCTTAGTCTATATTAACTAGTGCTCATACTTTTACCATTAAAAAATCTGTTCAACTCTTTTAACTTTGTTGCAGTTTTACTCAGATCCTTTGGAACGCCTCAGAATATTTCGTGCTCGCTTTCACACCTACCCAATACGCTTACTTCTGCCTCCTGCGCCCATTATCGATGAGGTCGTTGCTAACCCAGCCTATAAGCGGAAGTCAGAGTCAAGTTTAGTTGCTAAAGCTTCTCCCTTGGACGTTGTTCAAATCAAAGTCGCCGCTCCAGAGTCGGCCAACCGATGGATCAACAAACCTATACATGTGCTGGAACCGATTAAATTGCTCGATCCATTTGGAACTGGTCACTTAAACTGGGTTTTTATGACTCAGCGCAACCGAATGGTCTATCAGGCTTCACCTGTTAGTGCAATATTCGAATTAATCTCTCATTAATTTACTTCATTACTTTAAAGAACTTCATTATAGGCAGCATTATAATTAGTTGTAAGTAAAAGGCATCCCCAGTTGACACCACCAATATTTCATTTATGAGTTTAGCCGAACAGCTTTGCCTTCTAACGAGATATAATTATGGTGCCATTAAGTAATACAGATTCAGATATGTGCTTTATCCAGACCGTATTTGATAACGCCCATATTCGAAAGGACTGATTTGCCATCCTTCAAGAAATACTATCTCCAAGCCCTCTGAACAGAGCAAGATATTCACTCTCGCTCACCGTTACAGTGTATATTGCTTTCCACATAGCTGTGTTACGACTTCAGGGAATAAGGAGAAATGACCTGATGCCCACTTTCGAGGTGCCGAGAAAGAGGGTATGCCAAAGGTGTATTCACTATATCATATCAATGATTCAAAATAGATAGCGAGCCCATTTATCCTCATCTTTCGACAACAATATATGTAGCAATCAAACTAATAAAGGCAAAAATACGGGTTTGGTTTAGACAAACTCTTTATTTCGCCTTGGTTCGATAATGCTGATAGTCCCGAAACCCACTTATATCGAAAATCCATGTCATTGCAGATTGCAGTGACAATTATATGTTTGATTCATTGACAATTCCACCATAAATTTGATTTGAGAAAAGCCTAGCTTGTCTTGAATGTCACATCTGTCTTATCAACACACTTATACCCACAACTATTTAGTGAAGTGGTAGAGTCGCCAGAATACTCCGCTCCTGGAATCGAATTTCGTTAGGGCTGCCGATAAAACTAGGGCGAGGTCGAAACTGCAGTCTACCCTGAGTGAGATAGCCTTTCGGGAGACAATACAAATTTAAATTGAATGGCATCGTGAGGCCTACTCATCTCGTTGTTGAAAAACTCATATATTATTACTTAAATCACCTTAGGCCAAGTGGGGTGACTAAGCCCGTATCCATCATCATGCTTGCCCTTATTTTGGGTCTATTGTTAATACTGCACTTAATTATTTTAAATCGTTATGCACATGACAATCTTTAAGCTAGTAAGAAGCATTGTCATGCATTATAGAATGCTCTTCTTTTATTTTATTGTTAATTATATCACATATTTGCATTTACTTAAGTGAGAATATTGCAAGATGGGAAAGTAAAAATTTTAAGCTTTTGTGCTTTTGATATCATTACAGCACCGATACCTTCATTGAATTTATTCAACAACTGATAACAATTCCGCTTAATTTGTTTTATCAAGAGAAGCGAAGTGTAGTTATGAACCTCATCTCATTTTCACCTTCTATGAGGTTTGAGTTTGGACAGCCCAAGCATTGTCGGATAATTTTGATGCCATTTGGCCATTGTCACAGAGAATATCACTCTTTTAGCAGAGCTATTT